CTCATACCTAGGTAGTTTTTTATTTGTTTGTTTTTGATAGAGACAGAGCTTCACCATGTTGCCCAAGCTGGGCTCAAACTCGTGAGCTCAGGTGATTCGCCTGCCAAAGCCTCCCAAAGTGCTGGGATTACAGGCCTAAACCACTGTGTCCAACCCGTGTTTTTCCACATGTTCTAATCTTTTAATCTTTTTCTTTTTTTTGACACAAGGCCTTGCTCTGTCACCCAGCTGGAAGTGCAGTGCCCCAATCATAGCTCACAGCAGCCTTGAACTCCCAAGCTCAAGAGATCCTCCAACCTCAGCCTCTCAAGTAGCTGGGACTACAGGTGTATGCCACCACGCCCAGCTAATTTTTGTATTTTGTTTTTGTAGGGATGGGGTTTGCCCATTTTGTCCAGGCTGGTCTCCCAACTCCTGGGCTAAAGGCATCCTGCTGTAGCCTCCCAAGGCGCTGGGATTGCAGGTGTGAGCCACCATGCCCGGCCCACCTGTTACTCTTGCTGATGATTATTTATACGTGATGTGTCACTTCCCTCTTGCTGCTTTCAAGGTTCTCTTTTTATCTTTCAGCAATTTGATTATGATATGTCTAGTGATGGACATCTTTGAATTTATCCTATCTGAAGATTGTTGAACTTCTTGGCTCCATAGACTAATGGTTTTTTCCATCAGATTTTGGGAATTCGTAGCCATTCTTTCTTCATATAGTCTTTTTTACCCCTTCCTTTTTGTCCTCTGCTTCTGGGACTCCGATTATTTGATCATTCTCAAAGGTCTCTGAAGCTCTGTTCATTTTTCTTCATTCCTTTTTCTTTTTATTCCTTAGATTTGATCATCTCAACTGACGTATTCTCATATCACTCATCTTTTCTTCCGCCTACTCAAATCTGTTGTTGAACCCTCCATTGAAGTTTTTCATTTCTGGTTATTGTACTTTTCAAGTCCCAAATTTCCGTTTAGTTCTTTTTTTTTTTTTTTTTTTTTGAGACGGAGTTTCACTCTTGTTACCCAGGCTGGAGTGCAATGGCGCGATCTCGGCTCACCGCAACCTCTGCCTCCTGGGTTCAGGCAATTCTCCTGCCTCAGCCTCCTGAGTAGCTGGGATTACAGGCACGTGCCACCATGCCCAGCTAATTTTTTGTATTTTTAGTAGAGACGGGGTTTCACTATGTTGACCAGGACGGTCTCGATCTCTTGACCTCGTGATCCACCCGCCTCGGCCTCCCAAAGTGCTGGGATTACAGGCTTGAGCCACCGCGCCCGGCCCCGTTTAGTTCTTTTAAATAATTTCTGCTTTTAGGCCAGGCATGGTGGTTCACACCTTTTATCCCAGCATTTTGGGAGGCCAAGGTGGGCGGATCACTTGAGGTCAGGAGTTCAAGACTAGCCTGGCCAATGTGGTGAAATCCCATCTCTACTAAAAATACAAAAATTAGCTAGGCATGGCAGCAGGCGCCTATAATCCTAGCTACTCTGGAGGCCGAGTCAGGAGAATCGGTAGAACCTGGGAGGTGGAGGTTGCAGTGAGCCGAGATGGCACCACTGCACTCCAGCCTAAGGGAGCAAGACTCCATCTCAAAAAACAATTCTACTTTTAATTTTTATTCTCTATTTGGTGATATACTTTCTCATACTTTGATTTAGTTATTTAGATGACTTCCTTTAGCTCTTTGAACATATTTACAGGAGCTTATTTAAAGCAAGTTCAATGTCTAGGCTTCCTGAGAAACAGCTTGTATTGATTGCTTTATTTTCCCTTCTTTATAAGCTATATTTTCTTTTTCTTCTTTTTTTTTTTTTTTTCAAGACAGAGTTTCACTCTTATTGCCCAAGCTGAGTGCATTGATGTGATCTTGGCTCACCACAACCTCCTCCTCCTGGGCTCAAGTGATTCTCCTGCATCAGCCTCTTGAGTAGCTCCGATCACAGACACGTGCCACCACACCCAGCTAATTTTGTATTTTTAGTAGAGACAGGGTTTCTCCATGTTGGTCAGTCTGGTCTCAAACTCTCCCCTCAGGTGATCTGCCCGCCTCGGCCTCCCGAAGTGCTGGGATTACAGGCATGAGTCACCGCACCCTGCTATTTTCTTATTTTTTTGAATGTCTCATGACTTTTTTTTTTTTTTAAACTGGACACTTTAAATAATATAATGTAAATAATATAATGTGGCAACTCTGAAATCAGATTCTAACCCCCATCCAGGGTTTGTTCGTTTCGTAGTTTGTTGCGTAAAGGAGTTCCCAGGGACAAATGGTCTGGGTCATAGGATAGACGTGTGTTCAGCCTTAGGAGATGCTGGCATTGTAATTTTTTTAAAGAAGTAATTAGCACCTCAACATTTATTGTTTGAAGACTTGACTTACGTAACAGTAATAAATAATCATGAAAATTCAAGTTTGACATCAGAGTACACCAGCTTTCTGTTTCAGATTGAAATAGATACCTTTTATGACTGGTGGCATGTTAATGCCCCATTGATTGTTTTGCTTTGATTGGACATTTTATATAACTTGTAAATTTTAACAGTTACCAACTATCTGAAAATGAAAATATTGGCCAGGCGCCATGGCTCATGCCTGTAATCCCAGCACTTTGGGAGGCTGACGTGGGCAGATCACTTGTGGTCAGGAGTTTGAGACCAGCCTGGCCAACATGGTGAAACCCCATCTCTGCTAAAAAAAAAAATTCAAAAATTAGCTGAGCATGGTGGTACGTGCCTGTAATTCCAGCTACTCAGGAGGCTGAGGCAGCAGAATCGCTTGCACCTGGGAGGTGGAGGTTTCAGTGAGCAGAGATAGAGCCACTGCACACTCCAGCCTGGGTGACAGAGTAAGACTCTGTCTCCAAAAAAAGGGCCGGGCGCGGTGGCTCAAGCCTGTAATCCCAGCACTTTGGGAGGCCGAGGTGGGTGGATCACGAGGTCAAGAGATCGAGACCATCCTGGTCAACATGGTGAAACCCCGTCTCTACTAAAAATACAAAAAATTAGCTGGGCATGGTGGCACGTGCCTGTAATCCCAGCTACTCGGGAGGCTGAGGCGGGAGAATTGCCTGAACCCAGGAGGCGGAGGTTGCGGTGAGCCAAGATCGCGCCATTGCACTCCGACCTGGGTAACAAGAGCGAAACTCCGTCTCCAAAAAAAAAAAAAAGTCCACTTATTAGCATGGCCTTATTATTTTGCAAATTATTTAAGCCCAGACTTATAAAGTGTACTTGTGTACTTCGCTCATGTACATTATTTATATTTTCTTTAATATACATATAAATAAAAAAACTGTTCAAGCACAGTGGCTCATGCCTGGAATCCCAGCACTTTGGGAGGCTGAGGCAGGAGGATCACTTGAGGCCAGGAGTTTGAGACCAGCCTGGGCAACATAGTGAGACCCATTCCCCCACCCATTTTCAGAAAAACGATTTTAAAATCTAAAGTAGGTTAAGTAAAACCAAATTAACTATTTTAATTGGAAAACATCTCATGTGTCTTATTTCCAAGCCAGTGTCTTGATGTTGGGATTTTCAGTGTCATTTGTTTGCCGAATTCGCAGACACCGCAAGGGGGAGCCATGGCTCCAACAGCAGAGGCAATAAACCGCCTAGCCTTGGGGTTGAGAAATTCCGGCGACGGTGTTGGGAGGCCTCACCATTTTCGCCTGCAGAGCCAGCCCTGCGCCGCGAGGGGGCGGCATCGGAGAGACTGCCGCGTCTCCGGAGCGGGCTGCAGGGCGCGGCCGCCTGCAGTCCCAGTCCCAGGGGAGATGGGCTGGCTGCATCCCCATCCTCCCCGGAAGCGGTCTGACGATACCCATTTCGCAGATGGGCAAATGCAAAGGCGTAACCGGGATTTGAGCCTAGGTCTCTTTCTTTCTGCAGCCTGAAGAAATAAATGTCTCTACTTGCTCTGTGTGTGTTGGGGGCAACGGGGACTTTTCTGCAACCAAGCCCATTGCGCCCCCTCTCATCTTCTAACACATTCTTCTCCCGCTTGTACTCATCGGAGACTCCCCTCACACACCTATCCTGGGTGCCATCCTTCCACCTTAGCCCACCGCCCATGCAATCAGCCTTCTAAGCACCCCTTTCACCTGTCCCCTCATCTCCCCACTGCTCTGCCTTGGTCCAGCCGGGCGGTCGGCAGGGGTCCCTGCCTGGACCTCCCCACGGGCTCCCGGCCTGTCAGAGGAGCAGCCACCTGTCCAAGGTCACACAGCAAAAGAGGCACTTTTGGGATTCAAGACCCATCTATGAGACCGGGCGCGGTGGCTCAAGCCTGTAATCCCAGCACTTTGGGAGGCTGAGGCGGGTGGATCACAAGGTCAAGAGATCGAGACCATCCTGGTCAACATGGTGAAACCCCGTCTCTACTAAAAATACAAAAAAAGTAGCTGGGCATGGTGGCATATGCCTGTAATCCAAGCTTCTCAGGAGGCTGAGGCAGGAGAATTGCCTGAACCCAGGAGGCGGAGGTTGCGGTGAGCCGAGATCGCGCCATTGCACTCCAGCCTGGGTAACAAGAGCAAAACTCCGTCTCAAAAAAAAAAAAAAAAAAAAAAAAGACCCATCTATGGGTCCAAAGTGAATTTTTTTTTTCTTTGAGAAAGGGCCTGGCTCTGTCACTCAAGCTGGAGTACAATGGCATGACCTCGGCTCACTGCAAGTTCTGTCGTCCATGTTCAAGCAATTCTCCCACCTCAGCCTCCCGAGTAGCTGGGACCACAGGCATGAGCCACAACGACAGGCTAATTTTTTTTGTATTTTTTGTAGAACCAGAGTTTCACCATGTTACTCAGTCTGGTCTCAAACTACTGAGTTCAAGCGATCCACCCACCTCTGTTTACCAAAGTGCTGGGATTACAGGCCTGAGCCACCACACCCACCCCGATTTGGATCTTGCTCCTGCTCCCAGGATGACCCATGTCCTAGCAAGAGAGATACCAGGTGGTGCTTGCACCCCTCTACCCCCAACCCCTCCACCACCACGGGAGCCTGGGACCCAGAGGCCATGGGTCCTGCACAATCTGGAATTTCAGGTCTGTAAATCATGGGGGTGGCAGGGAGCCCATCAAAGCTGTTCGCCCATCCCGGTCTGCCGGCTCGGCCTCTTGTCTGCCCTCTCACACCACACACACACCCTCCTTCCTTCCTGGGAGACCGGCCCAAGGAGGGGCCTGGGCGTATATAGGGAGCCACAGTGGGTGGGGCTGGCCAGAGAGGCTCCAGGGACAGAAGGTGAGGAGGGGGCTATGGGAATCTGGGTGCAGCATGGGGGGTCTGAGGCTCAGGAGGGGCAGTGCCCGGTTCGGGCCAGTGACTGCCCCACCGGAGCCCAGGTGTCCTCTTATGCAAAATGCCAGAACTGTGGGCACAGCGGTACCAGCCTGGGCCCTGCAGAGAGCCGGAGCAAGCCCTCACAGCTGGGGAGGCTCAGAGCTGGGGGTCTGGCTAGCCCTTTATGCTCCTGGTCTCATCCTGCTCCTGTGTCCCGGGCAGAATGATGGCGTCTGCGGCGGCAGCAGAGGCCGAGAAGGGATCTCCAGTTGTGGTGGGCCTGCTTGTCGTGGGCAACATCATTATTCTGGTGAGACTCACCCCGGTGCTGAAAGCCGAGTGGGTGTGTGGTGGGGAGGGGGCAGTCAGCTCAGGGTGGGGGACGAGGGTCCAGAACTCCGTTAGCGCAGCGTGGGTTTACACCCCAGCTCTGCCTCTCCCCCACTCTGTGACCTTAGCAAGTGACTGTCCCTCTCTGTGCCTTCTTTCCTCATCTGTAGATTATGTCCTCATTGTGTGGGCTGTTGACACGTGGATTAATCCATGTGTGGCCCTCAGCTCAGGGAAAGTGCCCGACCAATGCTGGCTATCACTGTCAGCATCACTGGACATAATGCGACCCCCTGGTGCATAGGAGGCCAGAACAAGAAGGAAAGATGACACAGCGTCTTTCTTTTTTTTTTTTTTTTTTTTTTTTGAGATGGAGTTTCGCTCTTGTTACCCAGGCTGGAGTGCAATGGCGCAATCTCGGCTCACCGCAACCTCCGCCTCCTGGGTTCAGGCAATTCTCCTGCTTCAGCCTCCTGAGTAGCTGGGATTACAGGCACACGCCACCATGCCCAGCTAATGTTTTGTATTTTTAGTAGAGACGGGGTTTCACCATGTTGACCAGGACGGTCTCGATCTCCTGACCTCGTGATTCACCCGTCTCGGCCTCCCAAAGTGCTGGGATTACAGGCTTGAGCCATCATGCCTGGCCACGTCTTTCTTTCAATTAATGTTGGGTTTTGGTTTTGTGCTTGTTTCGTTTTCTTTTTTTTTTTTTTTCGAAACGGAGTCTCATTCTGTTGCCCAGACTGGAGTGGAATGGCCAGTCTCAGCTAACTGCAACCTCTGACTTCTGGGCTCAAGTGATTCTCCTGCCTCAGCCTCTGGAGTAGCTGGGATTACAGGTGCCCACCACCCCCCACCCCCCAGCTAATTTGTTTTTTGAGATGGAGTCTCACCCTGTCACCCAGGCTGAACTGCAGTGGTGCGATCTCGGCTCACTGCAACCTCCACCTCCCAGGCTCAAGTGATTCTCCTGCCTCAGCCTCTCAAGCAGCTGGGATTACAGGCACGTGCTGCCATGCCCAGCTAATTTTGTATTTTGTAGTAAAGACAGGGTTTCTCCATATTGGAATACCGGCATGTGCCACCACACCCAGCTACTTTTTGTATTTTTAGCAGAGACAGGGTTTCGCCATGTTGGCCAGGCTGGTCTCAAACTCCTGACCTCAGGTGATCTGCCCACCTCGGCCTCCCAAAGTGTTGGGATTACAGGGGTGAGCCACTTCGCCTGGCTTTGTGTTTGTTTTAGAGGCAGGGTCTATCTCTGTTGCCCAGACTGCAGTGCAGTGGTGTGATCCTAGCTCACTGCAGCCTCCAATTCCTGGGCTCAACTGATCCTCCCGCCTTAGTCCCCTGAGTAGCTGGGACTACAGGTGCACATCACCACATCTGGCTAAATCTTTTATTTTTTGTAGAAATGGGCTCTCACTATGTTGCCCAGGCTGGTCTCAAACGCCTGGGCTCAAGCAATCCTCCCACCTCGGCCTCCCACAGTGTGCTGAGATTATAGGGGTGAGCCATCTTGCCTGGCATATTTGTAATTTTTATGGCCACGGCCATGTCGCCTCCTCAGGGAATAACAGCACCGTCAAGGGAGGGCAGACAGACTGACTGTCTTATCTGTGCCAGGCTGCTGCTCCAGCCTTTCATCCTTGAAGCAACTGGCAGCTGGGGCATGGGGGTCGGAGGTCTGGCTGGGCCACCTCTTCTCTCCTGGCCTCTGTTCACCCTCATCACTGCTCATGGAAGGGGAGGTCTTTGCCTGCCTTACTGAGAGGGCAGTGGAGGCTCCGAATGGGGACGGAACTTGCTCATGGAGATGCCTGGTGCCAGGGCTGTTGGTCCTGAGCAGACCTTTCTAACCCGCCACTCTGTCAGCTGTCAGGCCTGGCCCTGTTTGCTGAGACAGTATGGGTGACAGCTGACCAGTACCGCGTGTACCCACTGATGGGCGTCTCGGGCAAGGATGACGTCTTCGCTGGTGCCTGGATTGCCATCTTCTGTGGCTTCTCCTTCTTTGTGGTCGCCAGCTTTGGTGTCGGCGCTGCGCTCTGCCGCCGCCGGTCCATGGTCCTCACGGTAAGGCCTGGGGGAGGGGGAGAGGGACATTGGGAGCCAGTTCAGTGGCAGGTGCTTCGCCAGCCACCAGCATGAGTTCCCCACAGTGCCACACTCAGGCATCCAGGCATCTCTCACTCAGTCTTCCCACAGCCCAATAACCCAGGCCCAGCAGGCATCCCTGTTTCACAAAGAAACCAGGGCATAGGGAGAGGAGCAGGGCTCTGCACAGCGGGAGGACTTGAGTAGCAGGGCTGAGTTTTTGTTTTTTGTTTTTGGTAAAGATGCGGGGCGGGGAGGGGCGGTCTCACTATGTTGCCCAGGCTGGTCTTGAACTCCTGGCTCAAATGATTCTCCCAACTTGGCCTCCCAACGTGCTGGGATTACAGGCGTGAGGCACCACACCCAGCCTTTCTTTCCAAATGTCTTAAGGGAAATTTCGAATGTAGACTAGAGTAGAGTATGTGGTGTCTGAGCCCCGCACACGCCTCTCACCTGACTTCAGCAACATCAGCAGCGGACTGTCCACATTGTCCCCTCTACCCCCTTCTCCCACACTTTTCTTCTGGGTATCTTGAAGCACATTCTAGATGCCAGGTCACTTACCTGTACATACTAGAGTGCACATTTCTCTGAGTGATAAGCACATTGTTTTAAAGCAGTCAGGTGTGTTGTGTGATGTCATCCCGTCTCCCAGCAGCGGAGTTCACACATCCACACGCAACCTCCTGTTGCGTTATGGGCGAAGGTGCAGGGAAGGACAGGAAAAGAATTTTCATCAAACATCAACTATTGAGGTTTTTTTTCTCCCACCCTCCATGGTGTTGACACAATCCACCAAATTCACCCAAGTTCCTTTATATTTTCCAACACCTAGTCTGTGTCAAATGTCTCTGATTATCTGAGAACATCATATTATGTTTGTTTTGTTTTAAGAGACAGGGTCTCACTCTGTTGCCTGGGCTGAAGTGCAGTGGTGTGATCTCGGCTCACTGCAGCCTCTGCCTCCTGGATTCAAGTGATCCTCCTACTCAGCCTCCCGAGTAGCTAGGACTACAGGCACATGCCACCATGCCCAGCTAATCTTCGTATTTTTAATAGAGATGGGGTTTTGCCATGGTGGCCCAGCCGGTCATGAACTTGTGACCTCAAGTGATCCACCTGCCTCGGCCTCCCAAAGTGCTGGGATTACAGGGGTGAGCCACCACGCCTGGCCCAAAGTTTTGTATTTTTAGTAGAGATGAGGTTTCACCATATTGGCCAGGCTGGTCCCGAACTCTTGACCTCAGGTGACGGCCCCCTTGGCCTCCCAAAGTGCTGGGATTACAGACCGTGAGTCACCCACCATGCCCAGCCTGTCTCAAAAATAAAATATTTCAAACATACAGAAAAGTTGGAAGACTTATACAGCAAACACCTGAATACCCACCGCATATTACAGATGCTACTATTCACACTGCCCTAAACTTTTTTAAAAGTTGCATTTCCACAACGAGGCGTCCCTGGTGGGGGTGTGGCTTCACCGGCTCTGTCCGACGCGCCGTCCTCCCTCTGATCTCCCCAGTACCTGGTGCTCATGCTCATCGTCTTCATCTTCGAGTGCGCCTCGTGCATCACGTCCTACACCCACCGTGACTACGTGAGCGGGGGCGAGGCCCGGAGAGGGGCCTGACCCGTGTGGGAGGGGCGAGGGTCGGGCGCGGCGGGTCAGAGGTCGCCTCGGCTCCCTACCCGACAGCCTTGCCGGCCGCTGTTCTTCGGCCTCTCTGCAGATGGTGTCTAATCCAGCCCTCATCACCAAGCAGATGCTGACCTTCTACAGCGCGGACACCGAACAGGGCCAGGAGCTGACCCGCCTCTGGGACCGCGTCATGATTGAGGTGAGCGCGGTGGACCGGTGCTGGGAGGGCCTGGGGCTCCCGCTGTATCCTCTTGTAGAAGAATGAGTCCCTTAAAGACATCACTCATGAGATGGCTAGGAAAGCAGGGCTGCGGTCATCGGTCATCGCCGTTCTCCAGGTGAGCAAACAGGCCCAGAAAGAGAAAGTCCCTTGCCCGAGGCCATGCGGTAGAGATGGGATTGGAACCGGCAGCCTGGCTCCAGAGCCCCTCCCCTTAGCCTACACATACCACCTCAACAGAAATGTTGACAGTAATAACAATGATAGTAACGGCACCATTCGCGGAACACTAACCTGTGTTTAACACTGTTCAGGGGACTTTTGTTTTCATATTTTGAGATGGAGTCTTGCCCTGTTGCTCAGGCTGGAGTGCAGTGGGGTGATCCTAGCTCACTGCAGCCTCCAACTCCTGGACTCTAGTGATCATCCCGCCTCCACCTCCCAAGTAGCGGGGAATACAGGTGCACCCCACCACACCCGGCTAAGTTTTAATTGTTTTTTTGTGGAGACAGGGTATTGCTCTATTGCCTAGGCTGGTCTCGAACTCCTGGGCTCAGGATTCGAGTGATTCTCCCGCCTCGGCGTCCCAAACTGCTGCTGGGATTACAGGCATGAGTCACCACTGCCTGGCCTCAAAGCACTTTTTTTTTTTTTTTTTTTTTTTTGAGACAGAGTTTTGCTCTTGTTACCCAGGCTGGAGTGCAATGGCGCGATCTCGGCTCACCGCAACCTCCGCCTCCTGGGTTCAGGCAATTCTCCTGCCTCAGCCTCCTGAGTAGCTGGGATTACAGGCACGTGCCACCATGCCCAGCTAATTTTTTGTATTTTTAGTAGAGACGGGGTTTCACTATGTTGACCGGGATGGTCTCGATCTCTTGACCTCGTGATCCACCCGCCTCGGCCTCCCAAAGTGCTGGGATTACAGGCTTGAGCCACCGCGCCCGGCTCAAAGCACTTTTATTTTTTTTATTTTTATTTTTTTTTTTTTGAGACGGAGTTTCGCTCTTGTTACCCAGGCTGGAGTGCAATGGCACGATCTCGGCTCACCGCAACCTCCGCCTCCTGGGTTCAGGCAATTCTCCTGCCTCAGCCTCCTGAGTAGCTTGGATTACAGGCATATGCCACCATGCCCAGCTACTTTTTTTTGTATTTTTAGTAGAGACGGGGTTTCACCATGTTGACCAGGATGGTCTCGATCTCTTGACCTTGTGATCCACCCGCCTCGGCCTCCCAAAGTGCTGGGATTACAGGCTAGAGCCACCGCGCCCGGCCTCAAAGCACTTTTAGAGCATATTTAATCCTCACTACCACGCCATAAGGGAGATCATCTTTTTAGTGATAAGGAGACCAAAGAAAGTGGTTGAATATCTTGGATGAGGTCACACAGCTGGCAGGTCACAGAACTGGAAGAACTCAAACTCAGACTGCCAGGTTTGAAGAGATAGACCCTTCATCAAATCCAACTTGATACTGCATTGGAGGAGGAAGACCGGCTGGATGCAGTGGCTCATGGCTCACACCTATCATACCAACATTTTGGGAGGCCGAGGCGGGCAGATTACTTGAGGCCACGGATTCGAGACTATCCTGGCCAACATGGTAAAACCCTGTCTCCACAAAAAATACAAAAATTAGTCAGGTATAGTGGCGCGCACCTGTGATTCCAGCTACTCAGGAGGCTGAGGCAGGAGAATGGCTTGAACCCAGAGGGCGGAGTTTGCAGTGAGCTGAGACTGTGCCACTGCACTCCAGCCTGGGCGACAGAGAGAGACTCTGTTGCAGAAAAAAAAAGGAAGAAATTGAGGACTCAAGGAAAACCCAAGTCCTCTAGCTAGCCAGGATTTGAACCCATGATTGAAAGATGCCCAAACCTGGCCAGGCGCGGTGGCTCAAGCCTGTAATTCCAGCACTTTGGGAGGCCGAGGCGGGTGGATCACGAGGTCAAGAGATCGAGACCATCCTGGTCAACATGGTGAAACCCCGTCTCTACTAAAAATACAAAAAATTAGCTAGGCATGGTGGCGCGTGCCTGTAATCCCAGCTACTCAGGAGGCTGAGGCAGGAGAATTGCCTGAATCCAGGAGGCGGAGGTTGCGGTGAGCCGAGATCGCGCCATTGCACTCCAGCCTGGGTAACAAGAGCGAAACTCTGTCTCAAAAAAAAAAGAAAGTTGCCCAAACCTATGTTTTCCTGATTCAGGAGCCACAAATGAAACACCTGGATTTCTTACCAAGGCCAGGAAAAGCCAGACATGTGTCCTTTTTGTGTCATTTCATCAGCATAATTGTTGATAAAAATGTTTTATTGTATTTTTTGAGATGGAGTTTCACTCTTGATTCCCAGGCTAGAGTGCAGTAGCATGATCTCGGCTCACTGCAACCTCTCTCTGCCTCCTGGGTTCATGTGATTCTCCTGACTCGGCCTCCCGAGTAGCTGGGATTATAGGTGCGCACCACCACACCGGCTAATTTTGTATTTTCAGCAGAGATGGGGTTTCATCATGTGGGTCATGCTGGTCTTGAACTCCTGACCTCAGGTGATCCACCTTCCTTGGCCTCCCAAAATGCTGGGATTACCAGCATGAGACACTGCACCCAGCAAAAATATTTGAAAATAAGTCAGAGGTGCGGGTTTAATCCAAATCCCCCATGATCCTCCTGGTCCTGGGACAAATACCGTCTGCTCCATGCTCACACACACAGACACCACCTGACACACTCGCTTGGAGGCCCAGGACATGGGGAAGTTGGCTCCAGCTGTGTCAAAGGCCAGCCCTGCCTCTCTTTGCTGTGTGACTTCAGGCAAGTGACTGTCCTCTCTGAGCCCGAGCCTGCCTGACCCTCCGCCTTTCTCTCCAGCAAGAATGCTGTGGCACATCTGGTCCCATGGACTGGGTGAACTTCACGTCGGCCTTCCGGGCAGCCACCCCGGAGGTGGTGTTCCCCTGGCCCCCACTGTGCTGTCGCCGGACAGGAAACTTCATCCCCCTCAATGAGGAGGGCTGCCGCCTGGGCCACATGGACTACCTGTTCACCAAGGTGTGACCCTCTGCCCTGCTGCCCCTGTCTGTCCATCTGTCTGTCTTCCTCTGGTCACTGCTCCCTCTCTTATTCTATGTCCTTCTCCCTCCCTGTGGCTGTCTGTCTAGCTTTTTCCCTCCCCTTCTTCCCTCTCTGATTTTCTTGTTTTCTTTTTCTTTTCTATTTTCAAGACCGAGTCTTGCTCTGTCGCCCAGGCTGGAGTGCAGTGGCACAATCTTGGCTCACTGCAGCCCCTGCCTCCCGGTTCAAGCAATTCTGTCACCTCAGCCTCCAGAGCAGCTGAGATTACAGGGGCATGCTACCCTCCCAGCTAATTTTTGTGTTTTTAGTAGAGACGGGGTTTCACCATGTTGGCCAGGATGGTCTCAAACTCCTGACCTCAAGTGATCTGTCTGCCTTGGCCTCCCAAAGTGCTGGGATGACAGGCGTGAGCCACTGTGCTGGGCCCCCTCTCTGATTTTCTCGTGCTCTCCCGACTCTCTCTCAAGTCAGCAGGATGCACCTAGGGTCTTTCTGATCCAGACCTGGCACCTGCAACTTTTCTCAGCTTGTCCAGGAATAAGAGCAACAATAGGGCTGGGCGAAATGGCTCACTGCTGTAATCCCAGAACTTTCGGAGGCCTAGGTGTGCAAATCACTTGAAGTCAGGAGTTTGAGGCCAGCCTGACCAACATGGCAAAACCCCATCTCTAGTAAAAATACAAAAATTATCCGGGCATAGTGGCATGTGCCTGTAATCCCACCTACTCGGGAGGCTGAGGTGGGAGAATCACTTGAACCCAGGAGATAAAGGTTGCAGTGAGCCAAGATTGCACCACGGCACTCCAGCCTGGGCGACAGAGTGAAACTCCGTCTTAAACCAAACAAAACATTAAACAAAAGAAAACAAAACAATAGGGCTGGGCAGGGTGGCTCACGCCTGTAATCCCAGCACTTTGGGAGGCCAAGGCAGGAGGATCTCTTAAGGTCAGGAGGTCAAGACCAGCCTGGGCAACATATCAAGACCCAGTGTCTACAAAAAACTACAAAAAATTAGCCAGGAGTAGTGGTGTGCGCCTGTATCTCAGCTACTGGGGAGGCTAAGGCAGGTGGATCGTTTGAGCCTAGGAGGTCAAGGCTGCAGTGAGCTGTGATGGTGCCACTGCACTCTAGCCTGGGCAACAGAGACTGAAAAAAAAAAAAAAAAAAAAAGGAAAGCCAGCTCTAAGCAAAATCACCCTCAGACTGTCATAGCTATCAGCAGGCAGCACCTACTTATTCAGGGCTCGGGTTCAACATCAGCTCCCTGGGGCACCAAAACCACCCGAGGAGGTGGATAGTGCCATGGTCCGCATTGCATGGGTGAGAAAACTGAGGCTCAGGGAAGGCAGTGACTTTCCCAAAGGTGCACAGTGGCTCTCACCTTCATCGGCCAGCCTCACGGGCGTTCTTCTCAAAACTCCCGCACCCCCTGCTCAGGGCTGCTTCGGACACATCGGTCATGCCATCGACAGCTACACGTGGGGCATCTCGTGGTTTGGGTTTGCCATCCTGATGTGGACGGTGAGAGGTGGGGAGCCCACAGGCTGGGTGGGCTGGGGGTGGGGGGCGGAGTGCCCTCATCTCGCTGCCTCCTTGCCAGCTCCCGGTCATGCTGATAGCCATGTATTTCTACACCACGCTCTGAGGGACAAGAGGGGAAGGCCATATACGCACCCCGGCCTCCTCCACATCCTCCTGCTTCCTCCACTGGGGCCTGGATGGCTGCCTCACCTCTCCCCTGCGACTTCCCTAGCCCCTCCCTCCTTCCACATCCAGGATCTTTTTCTGGGTTCCTGAGCCCTACTGTGCCTCGGGTGTGCCCTGAAACCCAGGGCTTGTGTGCACGGATCCTTGGCCCTTGACCTCATTCCAATCGGCTGGTTCCTGCCCATCTTTCAAGGGATCTCTCCCTGATCCCAGCTCTTGTAGCTCTCTGAGCTCCTTCACAGCAGGTGTCGCCATTCTTGCTGAATATCATTTGCTTTGTCAACACCGTTCTTGCTGTTTGTGATTGTCATTTAAGCTCTGGAAGCCTCGATTGCTGTGAGAGCCTGTCATGGCCACTTTACTGTCCCCATCATCACCCAGCACGGGGCTGAGCACTTATTAGATACTCAATAAATAATGAATGGATGAATAAATGAATGAGTTTATTTTCTTCTGGGTCAAGGGAGAAGGAACAATAACTGTTCTAGGCCGGGTGAAGTGGCTCACACCTGTAATCCCAGCACTTTGGGAGGCCAAGGTGAGCAGATCACCTGAGGTCATGAGTTCGAGACCAACCTGGCCAAAACGGTGAGGCCCCCCCAACCCCATCTCTACAAAAAAGCAAAAATCAGCCAGGTGAGGTGGTACAGATCTCTAATCCCAGCTACTCTGGAGGCTGAGGCAGAAGAATCTCTTGAACCCAGGAGGTGGAAGTTGTAGTGAGCCAAGATTGCACCATTGCACTCCAACCTGGGTGACAAAGTGAGGCCCTGTCTCCAAAGGAAAAAAAAAAAAACAAAAAACTGTTCTGATGTAAGTGGCAGAAACCTAACTGTCACTGACTGAAGCATAAAATGGAATTTATCAGCTCACGTAACTGAGTCAGTGGGGCTGGCTTCAGGCATGTCTGGATCCAGGTGTTCAGTCTAAGTGTCCAGGAAACCTGCTTCATTCTCAGACAGGGTTTCTCTGGCAACTCTAGACTTAGGTCTTTATGACTAAGCAACGCAACAGAGAGAAAAAGCCTCTCTCCCAAGGGCTGTAGCTAAGGTCCAGAGTTGAATCTCACCGTCTTGGCTTAGGTTCTATGCCCATTGTTAGGTTGGGAAAGGGAGGGCACCTGGCTTGCTGACCCTGTTAAGGGTGCATGCAGTGGCCGTGTTGGAAGGGGAGTTGTTTATCAAAGGAAAATCCAGGTACCGGGCTCTTGAGACTTACAGGTGATAAAGCCGGGCGCAGTGGCTCAAGCCTGTAATCCCAGCACTTTGGGAGGCCGAGGCGGGCGGATCACAAGGTCAAGAGATCGAGACTATCCTGGTCAACATGGTGAAACCCCGTCTCTACTAAAAATACAAAAAAAAAAAAAAAAAAAATTAGCTGGGCATGGTGGCGCATGCCTGTAATCCCAGCTACTCAGGAGGCTGAAGCAGGAGAATTGCCTGAACCCAGGAGGCGGAGGTTGCGGTGAGCTGAGATCGCGCCATTGCACTCCAGCCTGGGTAACAAGAGTGAAACTCCGTCTCAAAAAAAAAAAAAAAAAAAAAAGAGACTTATAGGTGGTAAACATCCTTCTGCTAGGGATACAGCTTCCAGCAAGTTCTCTAAGGGGTCCGTTATAGCAAACCATTAAGAATCAAGTTGTGGTCGGGAACAGTGGCTCACACCTGTAATCCCAGCACTTGCCGAGGCAGGCAGATCACTTGAGGCCAGGAGTTTGAGATCAGCCTAGTCAATATGGTGAAACCCTGTCTCTACTAAAAATACAAAAGAGTACCGGGGTGTAGTGGTGGGCACCTGTAGTCCCAGCTACTCGGGAGGCTTGCTTGAACCTGGGAGGCGGAGGTTGCAGTGAGCCGAGATCGAGCCATTGCATTCCAGCCTGGGCTACAGAGCTCAACTCAGTCTCAAAAAAAATTTAAAAATAAATAAATAAATAAATAAAAAATATATATACACATTCACACACACATACACATACATATAAATAAATAATTATAATAGAAAATTTTTTTGAGACAGAATTTTGCTCTTGTTGTCCAAGTTGGAGTGCAGTGATGTAATCTCAGCTCACCAGAACCTCCGCCTCCTGGGTTGGAGTGATTCTCCTGCCTCAGCCTCCCAAGTAGCTGGGATTACAGGCATGTGCCATCACGCCCAGCTTTTTGTGTTTTTAGTAGAGACAGGATTTCTCCATGTTGCTCAGGCTGGTCTCCAACTCCCGACCTCAGGTGATCCACCTACCTCAGCCTCCCAAAGTGCTGGGATTACAGGCATGAGCCACTGCACCCAGCATAATAAATAATTTTTACAGGAGACAGCTGTATGTGAGTTGATTATAAAAAGATGTCATAATAACTGGAAAGCTCATGTGAGGATGTTCATTACACTAACCTAAAATGACCATCAGTAGGGAACTGGGTAAATTAACTATGCTATGTCCCTCCTCTGGAATATTACGTAGTGGTAAAAAAGTAATGCATGAACCTGGGAGGCAGAGGTTGCAGTGAGCCAAAATCGTGCCACTGCAATTTAGCCCGGGTGGCAGAGCAAGACTCCCTCTCAAAAAAAAAAAAAAAAAAAAAAAAAAAAAAAAAAATCACACTGCAAAAGAATATTTAATGGCATGAAAAAAAAATACTTGGGAAATTGTGACATGAGAAAAACAAATTACAATATAGCATGCCAAGTATGATTCCCTCTCTGATAAAAGTATAAGTATGTGCATGCTTGCATTTTTTAAAGAAGGTCTTCCAAAGGTTATTGAGGAAGAGGACACATTTGCAGGGGATTTTTATTTCATTTCTTGGGCATTTTGGTATTTTCCAAATATTTTATGATGATTACTGCCTTTGTCCTCCAACAAAAATCAAGAAACAAATCTTTTTTTTTTTTTTTTTTTTTTTTTTTTTTTTTTTTTTCTTTGAGACGGAGTTTCGCTCTTGTTACCCAGGCTGGAGTGCAATGGAGCGATCTCGGCTCACCGCAACCTCCGCCTCCTGGGTTCAGGCAATTCTCCTGCCTCAGCCTCCTGAGTAGCTCGGATTACAGGCACGTGCCACCATGCCCAGCTACTTTTTGTATTTTTAATAGAGACGGGGTTTCACCATGTTGACCAGGATGGTCTCGATCTCTTGACCTCGTGATCCACCCACCTCAGTCTCCCAAAGTGCTGGGATTACAGGCTTGAGCCACCGCACCCGGCAAGAAACAAATCTTAATTAAAATGTCACTGCATGCCGGGCGCCGTGGCTCAAGCCTGTAATCCCAGCACTTTGGGAGGCCGAGGCGGGTGGATCACGAGGTCAAGAGATCGAGACCATCCTGGTCAACATGGTGAAACCCCGTCTCTACTAAAAATACAAAAAATTAGCTGGGCATGGTGGCGCGTGCCTGTAATCCCAGCTACTCAGGAGGCTGAGGCAGGAGAACTGCTTGAATCCAGGAGGCGGAGGTTGCGGTGAGCCGAGATCGCGCCATTGCACTCCAGCCTGGGTAACAAGAGCGAAACTCCGTCTCAAAAAAAAAGAAAAAAAAAAATGTCACTGCTGGACATAAAATGTACAATGAGAAGGGAATTATTCTACTAAATATTTTCAAACTTTATGTGAGCAGTTAAGACAGGCCAGGGCTGGGTGCAGTGGCTCACACCTGTAATCCCAGCATTTTGGGAGGCTGAGGCAGGAGGGTTGCTTGAAGCCAGGAGTTCAAGACAAGGTCTCAACATAGTGACACCTCATCTCTCCAAAAAATGTAAAAATCAGCTGGGCATAGTGGTTTGCACCTGTAATCCCAGCTACTCAGGAGGCTGAGGGAGGAAGATTGCTTGAACCCAGGAGGTAGGGGTTGTAGTGAGCTGTGATGGTGCCACTGCATTCCAGCCTGGACAATAGCAAGACCCTGTCCCCCTGCCCCTGCCAAAAAAAAGGCCAGGACTTGCCAGATGAGGGGGCTGGGTGGTTGATCTGCCCTCTGCCCTTTGGGCAGTCAGGTAGGCAGGCTGCCATCTCTGACCCACACCTGTCACTCGGCTTTCTGGCACCGTCTGACCACATACCTGCAGAGTGTGGCTCAGTCAGATGGGCAGTGGCGTGGCCTCACCCAGGCAGCTGTAGGACAGGTTTGTCTGCCCCAGTCCCCAAACTCAGAGGCCCACTCCTGTGGGTGAGAGGGGAGCAAAGAGGTCAGGGCTAGGTCGGGGCCCAGACCCCTTGAGGGCCAGGCAGCCATTCAATGGCTGTTCCCACCACACCCCCAGCTGACTGCATCCCTCCTCTGCCTCTAACCCTCCATGGCTCCCCAGCAACCTCCTCACCTCCCACTGAGGGGCCCGTGTGGCTTGGTCCCTTGCCACCTCTCCGGGTATCTCTCTCTCCTGCTCCACTGGGCCAAGCTCTCTCTTTCACCATCTGAGATCAGAGAATGGAAACAAGACACTGTGTTATATAGCAATCGAGCAGGGCACACGCCTCTGACTACATCCACTCTTGCTTAGTCTCCTTCCATGAGAACAAGTTATTGTTTTGTTTTGTTTTGTTACTAAAATGTAAAGACCCACACCCCTGCCCTTTCCTCAGGCATCCAGTGCCCACCGATTCCTCCTCTCTGGTTACCATATCCTTGGCTGGCATCAGAAGAATAGGTATAAACTTCCTAGTACTTAAGAAGATCTGGTTTGACAAGTTCGAATACAACGATGCAGAAAGGAAATTCTATGGGCAGACGAATGGGCCTGCTGTGGCCGGTGCCTCCCACCAGATCAGTGCCAGCGTGATCCTCTGTGATATTGTGAGGGTGAGAGAGAACATCCAGAAATCCCTGGCCGGAAGCTCAGACTGTGGGACCTCCAGCGGCCCCAGCGCAAACCACCGTGAGCTGGTGGTCCCGATCGCGAGCCTGGAAGTGGAGAACCCTCCCACGTGGGCGTAATGCAGGAGCTGCAGCCGACCGTGTGTCTCCAAGCTGGAGGCTGAGCCTGCCGAACATGATGACTTTGACCTGTTTGGCAGCAACAATGACAGGAGGGCAGGGAGGCAGCGCAGCTGCAGAAGAAGCAGCTGCGGCGGCCCGAGGAGAAGGACAAGAAGGCCAGGCGCAGTGGCTCACGCCTGTAATCCCAGCACTTTGGGAGGCCAGGTGAGTGGATCACCTAAAGTCAGGAGTTCAAGACCAGCCTGGCCAACGTCAT